AATTTCAATTATTTTTTTTTTATTTTTTTTTTTTATTTTTTATTTTTTTTTTTTGAAACTGGTCTGATTTCGTGTATTATAGCCTTGAATTATAGTTGATGTCTAGTTTTAGATGATAATCATCTATCACATGTTTTAACTATCACTTCAACTGATGTCTTTGATATACCTAAATTTTCAAACAAAACTCTATCTCTAGACTATAGAGACTTGTTGCTATGCCTATTATGGTTCCAAACAAACTTTTATGACCCTGGAGACACTCTATGCATTCATTTTTGTTTTTGGAAATTTCCCAAAATTGATGTGAGATCGTGTATTATAGCTCTTTTTTAGAGAAATTTCGACTTTCCAAATCTAGAAAGAATAGAGGACAAGATTTTTCTCAAGGATCCCATGAGACCCTAGGAAGCCATATAGGTGGTTGGAATCATCCGTTATGCCTCTTAACTAACAATTAAACGGTTATGAACATGCTTATCATTATTAACTCAATGTCACCCCAAGCCTTTTTGGGAACCGTATATTGGGCGTATATGGCGCTAAACAACCTTTTTATGATTCCGGGATGCACCCCTAACCATTATTAAAAATTCTGACATCGAGTTCTGAAAATTGGCTGATTTTGTGTATTATTTTCCCTTTGCATCCAAAACACATTTTGGTAAGACCCAAGGTGCTTCCAATGCTTCCTAAGAGACCCAGGAGGGTTAATAGGTGGTTTGAGCCATTTACTCAGTGCGTCTCACCACAAAAAAACATTCTAAAATTTGAATTTATGATACCAGTGTTTACTGTTTCTATATTAAATAACCATGTAGAGTTATCCGCTTTTTGTGAATGTGTTAACTTACCTTCCAAAGCTGCGTAAACTTCTCTGCAGCGTTGGGCCTGTTGGCTCTTCCTAGGTAGGCTCATAGTTTTCTAGAATCCACCCCTTAGATTGTCATATCCCAAAGTTTCCTGAAATACCTAGATCAATTAATTTGATTCTCTAGTTCAATGCTCCATCCTTTTCAATATATCGTCCACCTTTCTATATTGTTTGTCTCATGCTCTTGTACTCTTTGGTTACAAAATGTATATTAACACAATCAAATTTCTCTGTTCCCACTATATTGACATGCTATAAGCTAGTGTCCTCCCCCCTCCTTTTTTGATACATGGAAAAAATCAACATGGTCAGTATCTTTGGGAGGAAGCATAAACTGCCCCATTGCTTGTGTTATGGACATTTCATAGATTAAAATTTTCCATAGTGGTCCATCATAAGTAATTTTTTTGTTTGATCTTTTGAAATCCCTAATCAGGTTCATGTTCTTCCAGGTTGTTACTTGCCTTCGTCAACCATCACAAGGGCCAACTTTTGGAATAAAAGGTGGTGCAGCTGGTGGTGGTTATAGTCAAGTGATTCCAATGGATGAGTTCAACCTTCACTTAACAGGGGATATACATGCTATAACAGCTGCAAACAATCTTCTTGCTGCTGCCATAGACACCAGAATTTTCCATGAGGCCACCCAGTCTGATAAAGCTCTGTTTAACCGGTTGTGTCCTCCTAACAAAGAAGGTAAAAGAACCTTTTGTAACATAATGTACAGGCGTTTGAAGAAGCTTGGTATTGATAAGACTAATCCAGACGATCTTACACCGGAAGAGGTCACTAAGTTTGCTAGGCTTGATATTGACCCTGATTCTGTTACATGGAGGAGAGTTATGGATGTGAATGACCGGTTTTTGAGGAAAATTACTGTTGGTCAGGGGCCTGATGAGAAGGGGATGGTTAGGGAAACTGGATTTGATATATCTGTTGCTAGTGAGATAATGGCAGTTTTGGCTCTAACAACCTCTTTGGATGATATGAGGGAGAGACTTGGAAAAATGGTGATTGGAAATAGCAAGGCTGGAGAACCAATAACAGCTGATGACCTGGGCTTAGGTGGTGCTTTAACTGTACTGATGAAGGATGCAATCAACCCCACACTGATGCAGACTCTGGAAGGAACACCAGTGCTTGTTCATGCTGGTCCTTTTGCAAATATTGCTCATGGCAATTCCTCTATTGTTGCTGACAAGATTGCTCTGAAGCTGGTTGGGTCTGGTGGATTTGTAGTTACTGAAGCGGGATTTGGTTCTGATATTGGAACTGAGAAGTTCATGAACATTAAATGCCGATATAGTGGTTTGACTCCACAGTGTGCTATTGTCGTTGCCACAGTGAGGGCTTTAAAAATGCATGGTGGTGGACCACAAGTAGTGGCTGGCAGGCCTCTTGATCGTGCTTACTTAACAGAGAATGTGGGTCTTGTTGAGGCTGGCTGTGTTAATCTTGCCAGGCATATTTCAAATACTAAGGCCTATGGTTCAAATGTTGTGGTTGCCATAAACATGTTTTCTACTGACACAGAAGCAGAGCTGAATGCTGTTAGAAAAGCAGCAATTGATGCTGGGGCATTTGATGCAGTTATTTGTACTCATCATGCCCATGGTGGAAAAGGAGCGGTTAGTACTGAATACTCTATAAATAGTTATCAATATTATGGATGTGATGCTAGACTGAGTAGCTTTGCCATTCCTATGTTGGTAATCAAACTGTTACTTATTTGTTAACAATCAGAGTAGTGGTATACATTTCTTTGTTTGCAACTAAGCTCACTAGTTATCAGTGTAGGAACCTCTATTTCTATTTGTTTTCCGCTGATGCTTGATTTTACTTTAGTAAGATATGGAATCAATGTGACCTATCTCTTTAACTGTCGATTATTTGTGAGTGGAATTCCATCTGGATCTGATGCTACTTTGATATGTTTCAGGTGGATCTTGGCATAGCTGTTCAAAAAGCATGTGAGAATGTAACACAGCCTTTGAGGTTCTTATATCCTCTGGATGCTAGCATCAAAGAGAAAATAGAGGCAATAGCAAAGTCTTATGGTGCTGCTGGTGTTGAATACTCAGAACAGGTCAGGTCAGGCAATTTGGTTATTTGGTCTAGTCTGGGTGGTAAATGCTCTTTTATATGCTCCCTATATGGTTTATTTACATTTAAGATTGTTGACTGTTGTACTCCCAGCCTCCTAAAACAGAAAGTTTTGTCTACACGTGCTTATGGAATGCAAGTCTGTTATAACATCATTTTCTAGACTCACTATTTGGTTTGTGTTGAAGAATTTGTTCCTTTAGTCAATGATATAATCTTCATTTACCTAACAAATATAGAACTAGTGACCAGTTTTTCTATCTTTAAGAAATTGCCATTAATACAACATAAGTAAAAGTGTAGATAACATATCTTGGAATCATCGTATATCAGCATCAAGCCATTCATAACGTTAATACTCTAATCATTGCCATGATATTAGCATGTTGAAGAGTCTTCCCATTTCTTCTTTTTTTAGGCTGAGAAACAAATCGAGATGTACAGCAAACAAGGCTTTTCTAATCTTCCAATCTGCATGGCAAAAACTCAATATTCATTTTCTGACAATGCTGCTGCAAAGGGAGCTCCAACTGGATTTATCTTGCCTATTCGGGATGTGAGAGCTAGTATTGGAGCTGGATTTATTTATCCTTTGGTTGGAACCATGAGTACAATGCCTGGGCTTCCTACAAGGCCTTGCTTCTTTGATATTGACCTCGACACTACTACTGGGAAGGTTATTGGTCTTTCTTGAAGATCATATAATCAGGACAGATTTGAGACACTGTTCTCTCTTCCTGCACAAACTGCTTGGAGACCTTTCATAGTGATTTTGTATGAACTTGTATGTCTTAGGATCAAATGTTTCTTATTGCTTCACTAAATAAAAAGAATCTAATATGCCTTCCCTTTGTTCCGTTTGTGTACCCAACCTGTGCATCAATGTTGATACAATTTTTAATACTGATTATATACTTTGTATATAGTATTCATATTATATAGCTGTAGAAACTTGTTAATGCTACCCACCTGTAGTAGACGGGCTCATTACTTCTGCTCTAAGTGTTGGTTAGAATGTGAGGAACATGTAGATCTGCAAATCAAAAAACAAAGAGCTTATTTCTTGCATCCCAGTAACTGGGGTGAACACATCCTTCCATTGTGGCTTCCCATCATCGGTAGGAGGCCTTGTTAGCTCGATTGCTATAGGCCTAGAGCACCTTCACGGGCTAGGAATAAAGTCTGTGATCCAAGCAATGTGGTGTCTTTGATATATCTTACCTTCTGTTCATATTTAGGGAAAATAGAGATGATGAAGTACCCCCTTGACATAAATGATGCCTATTGCCCTTGAATTAGATTGGGAAAGATGTTACCATTCCATATGTACATTGTTTTTGTATCTATATTTGTTGTTGACTTGTCGGACCAAAAAAAAAAAAAAAAAAAAAAAAAAAAACTAAAACTGCTTAACAATATTTGATTGAAATCACATTTTTATATAACAATAATTTTTCTTAATTAGCTATGGCTACTTATAAATAACATTAAAATGCTACAATATTCTATAAGACTATAGCTAGTTTAAGTTAATTTACCTCACAATTTCAGTCATATTTATATATACATATACATATTTTTGGTGGATATATATACATTAATTTTAAACACGTGTTTCTCTGTTTTTTTTTTTTTTTTTTTTTTTTTTAATTTTTTTTCCGAGTCCCAAACCATAAATTAACAAGTGGTAAAAATGTGGCAAATATTGATCAATGATATTAAAATTACTCCTACATAAATTTTGCAACATTTGTGTGAGGTACATCTATATTTTTCCTTTTTCGGAACCGAGACAAGATCCTTAAATTTACCGTATTAGGTTTTCCCTTCGAGAGCAGGAAGTCCTCATATAGAAGTCTCTACAACAATTTTAAACTTAACTAACAATCATCATCAATTACTTTCCATGATTAGTATGCATTGAGAGGCGATAATCATCACTTTTCATCGTCACTCTGCATTAACTATTCCATATTTTTTCTGGGAATTTGGAGAAATGATAGATTGCACAACAAAACCACAAATGACAGATCAATCAAAACCCAATTTGTTACCAGTAAAAACACCAAATTTATCTGTAATTTCAGATACCAGAAAATCCATGTTTTGTGTTTATGTTTTTATGTTAACATTCATTTTCTGCACATTTTTCATTCTTTTTAACAACCCATCTTCCTCTTCTTTGAAATACATTGCTAATTTCAAAGACTTCTCTCATTTTCCTTCCTTTTTCACCCATTTCTTCCCCAATTCTTCTCCAAATTCTTCTTTTGTATTAGGAATAAATAATACTAATACTAATAATAGTTACAATCATATTGTCAATAATGTGTCATCATCATCATATAATTATCCTCCAAAAATTGGGGATGAATTGTATGAATCAATGTTACATTGTGATTTATTTGATGGGAAATGGGTTAAAGATGAATCATACCCACTTTATTCACCTGGGTCTTGCCCACATATTGATGAACCCTTCAATTGTTATCTCAATGGTAGGCCTGATAATGCCTATGAGAGGTATAGATGGCAGCCTCATGGGTGCAACATTCCTAGGTAAAATGCTGAACTTTTATTTTATTTTCTTAATTTTGTTGGGCATGAATTTGGACATATTTGTGTTATTGATGTTAGGAACTTGTATAAAATTTAATCTTGATACAATGTTACATGGTACTCCCTCAGTCTCTTAAAGATACGATCAGTTGCATTGCGATTGAGTACGTGAATCCACGAGTATAGTATAGTCTCTATATTTCGTGCGGATGAAAATGTGTATTTTTGTTGAAGTGAGACTTATTTGAGATGGATTTATGTATTGTTATTATGGCAGATTAAATGGCACCCATATGTTGGAATTGTTGAGAGGGAAGCGTCTTGTTTACGTTGGTGATTCATTGAATAGGAATATGTGGGAATCCCTTGTATGTATACTCAGAAATTCAGTGGAGAATAAAACCAGGGTATTTGAAGCCTCTGGTAGAGAAGAGTTTCGCACCGAGGGCTCTTATGCCTTCATATTTGATGTATGATTGGTGATAATTCATTAACAAGCTTTTTCATTCAATTCAGAGATATGCTAGTTAGTTAATAATGTTGTCAGGATTTAACACATCTGTAATTTGTTGTATGATTTGTTAGGATTACAACTGTTCTGTGGAGTTCTTTAGGTCCCCATTCTTGGTTCGAGAATGGGAAATGCCCGACAAAAATGGATCAAAGAAGGATACGCTGAGGCTTGATTTAGTTGAGAGGGAGTCTGAAAGATATAAGGATGCAGAATTTCTGATCTTCAACACTGGACACTGGTGGAGTCATGAGAAAACTCAAAAGGGGTAATATCCTGCTAGTTGAACTCGACTTTCATGCATTGTATTTTTCCTACTCCAGGATAGAAATTGATGGATAAAATAAAAATTTGTGCAGGGAGGGTTACTATCAAGAAGGTAGTCATGTCTATAGTCAATTAGAGGTCAATGAGGCTTTTCGACGAGCACTGACAACTTGGGGAAGATGGCTGGAGGCTAATGTTGAACCCATGAAAACACAAATTTTCTTTAGGGGATATTCAAATTCTCACTTTGGGTAAGTTTTACAGCAGAAGTCTGACATACTTTCAACATAATGTAGCAATTGCTGAACTTCAAAGTAGTAGATTGTTTTGTGATTTGATTATGATTTTGTCACAAAGAAGCATAAAATGCCGAGAAATCTGAAGTTTAAATGAGAAATGCAAAATTGTCAGTCAGTAGCTATGTCTGATCAAATATTGGTTGCTTATCATTCAGACATGACAAGGATAGATGTGAGTTCTGCATGTATTTTGCAGCTTGTTGCTTGTTCCTTTACTCTGTTTCATGTCTTTTGTTGTTAAATCTTTTGTTTCTTTTGCTGCAAAATATTTTAGTTCTTGATCTCTGCTGATAGTCTCTCTATTAAATTGTCTGTAACTTTCATGATTTGCAGAGGTGGAAGATGGGATTCTGGTGGGACATGTGATAAGGAAATTGAGCCAATCAAGAACGAGACAGATCTACCAGAACAACCCCCAATGATCAAAGTAGTGGAGAATGTGATAAAGGGGATGAAAGTACCGGTTTTCTATCTTAACATCACGACACTGACTGACTACCGGAAAGATGCCCACCCTGCAGCTTATAGAACACAGGAGGAGAGGCTTTCACAGCCAAGATACCAGGACTGTGCTCATTGGTGCCTTCCTGGTGTTCCTGATACTTGGAATGAACTAGTGTATTCTCAAATCTTGATAAGATATTACCAAAAGCAACATCAAGGATAACAGCAACAAGAGCAGTGCCTTTAAAGGACATGGGTAAATCATTAATGAGGTTTCTGTTTACTGCTTCAGTCACTACTTGATAGTGTAGCTGGTATCATGAAATGTACTTTGCTCGGGATCAATTTAGGTTCTACTCTTATCATGTCTTTGAAATTGGTTTAGTAAGCGTTTATATTTGAATGTCTGCACCTCCTTGTGGTTGATGAATGCATGCTGTCTCCTTTTTTAATTTATATTCATGTTTTATTACTCTCTTCCTCTTGCACAAAACTTAATTAATGTGGCATACTTTTTAGTTGTGCTTGCTTTTGTTTGAGATCGTCTTCATTGGCTACTTTATTAATTGTTAAGTTTAAGCTGATGTTGTTCATGTGCTGTGATATGGACCGACATACTAGTGCTGGGATTGCCTCATTGATTTTGATTAGGGGGTGGGGTGGGAAGGGATAGACTTATATGTACCAGATGATATTTAATAAGGGCTTCAATTTACAACTTGAATTGAGGACTTTGAAATTTTACTCTCTGACTATTCCTACATGATGCTTAATTAAGCATTTTGTTGATGTATGATTATATGATATACAATGCTCGAGATTTAAATGAGATAGTATTGGCTGTGCAGAAACAAAGTTTGGCATTTGACATAGATAATGTAGTAAAAATAAAGAAGTTAGAAATATGACGAGTTCTCTTAACTGGTAGTCATTTTGCTTCCCTTTCATCTTAAGGATAAGTGTTTAATATTTTACTTGGCTTTCTTTAGTCAGATTTTTCTACTAGCACCTTGTAATTTCTGTCCATTTTGTGTATATCTGAAGGCCGGAGTGATGGATGAACTTCTCAAGGGAGCCCACAGGACACAACCAAAGATGATGAAATTTTGGATTACTGCAGCAATGTGGGTAAGTCTTATCCATCTATTGTCTACTACTTTATATGGAGTATTTATTTAGTAAAGAGTACATTTTTAACGAGATATAAGGATGATAGATAGATAAGCAGAGTACATGCTGACATAGAAACTTCAACAACCCTTATTTCTTCGGCCCTCATTGGCCTTGTTTAGTAGTCAATTATTACTTGGGATTGATGGATATAGCTCTTTCCAGACGTTTTTTTTTGTTGCTATATCTTGTACCAAAATGAACATGATCTTGTACATGGTCAGAAAAATCTTGCAATCTTTGGTAGGTTGGTTTCTGTAATACAATTTTATATTTTATGGTATTTGTAATAGACTTGTTAAGGCAATTTCTTCTTTATATGGGATTTAGTACATTTAAATGATTTAATTATGCAAGTGTTAATCTTGTCTTTTTAATTATTGTTGATCATTGCCATATCTGAGATTTGAGAACTATGCATGTGTTCATCAAACCATTTATTTATTGCTATTGCTTCATCTATAATACAAACTTTCAATGCTGCACTATGCAAAATACATGTGTTCATCAAACCATAGGATTGTTAAATCTGATATCTAGAATTCAGGTTCTTAACACAAATTTTAGTCATTTGAGCAAAATTATGAATTGATGACCCTGCAATTGGTTCGTATCTGGCCACTTGACCCTGTTAGTGGATTTATGTTTCCCATATTAATCATGGAGTTGATGAAGTTACTAATGAAGAGGTGCTGATCATTGCTATAGCTCTCGACGATGCTCTTGGTTGTTGAATTAGCCAAATTGCTGGAATACAACTCTTGGTCTGATAGGAGAATGCCCTTATTGTTTAGCAAATTTTTGAAGTAATGGTTGTCAAATAAGTCTGTCGAGTTCTGGTCGAGAGCAGTTGTCTTGTTCCCATCACCATTGACTGGGCACAAGCTCTGCAGCTGTGATACTAGGCTAGTGTCCATGGTGCTATCTGGAGCTCCAGTATTAGAAAAATTGAACAACCTTGAACTGAAAGTAGCACATCTTGCCAATCCTATTGTATGAGCACCTGTATTAAAACCGTCAGTACCATTAGTATTTAAGAGATTCAAGAGTTAATCTTGTCAGAACTCTTGTGAGTATGATAATATGTATACCTTGTAAGGCCACAACGTCACTTAAGTTGAGGCCTTGATCACCAAACTTAGAAATGACGCTGTCTAGGGGATCAAACGGAGATGGAAGGTTTGAGTTTGCTCCGGTCTGGTTGGCCACCATTCCATCTCTCCTTCCTAGCAATACTCCATACGAAGGCCCTCCACTCTGCAACATTAATTAATTAGTCAAGTACATGCGCAAACCAAGACTAATGGATTACGGGCAGCTATTGCCATTTATGTTCATTTTCAAGTGTGATTTTCCTAGATGCATGACAATATGACATACCAATTTTATTGAATCGCGGGCAGCTATTGCCAGTATATCAGCACAGGACACAACTCCATTGCATGAACTCTCCACTGCACTTTTGATCGTGTCAACAACGTCAAACCCTCTTAGAGAATTCTGGTTAGGAAGAGCGAGCTTTTCACTGCCGCTTCCATCCAAAAGGACAGACCCATCACAACCCTATTCGCAAAATCATAAGGTATTGTTGTTAGAGAAGAAAATCTGTATACAAGCATATGATTTTTCTATAAGTACAACGACAACTTTTCCGGCCTGTCCGGTTTGGCTCATGATCAGCTCCATCTTAATAATATGTACAACTAGCTTAGAACTCCTGCAGCATATGTTTTCCATGCATGCATGGGAAGAAAATAAAGCTGTTTGAGAGGAAAACTTACATTGACAAAGCAATCATGAAAGTGAAGTCGAAGCAAAGAAGCTCCCATCCTCATTTCATTCATAACTGCAATTCGAACCTGTTTCCATACTACCTGAAAGAGATTAGGACATGTTTTTTCATAAAAATTAGCTGTTAGCTGGCATTTCACATCCACAATGTTGAACGCCAACAAAGTTAGAAGCAAAATGACACTTTTTATGCCTCTTGAACCCTTCATACTTAGTGCTAGTATATTAACAAGCACAAATAACTAAGGCAAGGATTCTAGTTTGTAATGAGAGACGGTTATAGCGAAGATAATGAGCTCTAAGTTGCATAACTTGACAATGTTTGAAGCTCTATTTATAACTAGTGGAATTCGGGTAACGGATAATTAATGTTATTAAACTGTATCCACTTAATTAAATTAATGGTTGAATATATAAGTAGTATTATTTTAGGATAATCAGAAGAAGTTGTTACCTTTTATGATATATTCCTGGTTTATTATAAAATTCTCAATGTTAGTACTTGATTAAAGTGACAAGGATATATGATGATTAACATAAACTTTATAATAACAAGAGTCCCCAAGTAAAATAATTTTGATACATCAACAATTGAAAGTTGAGACAACGTGACACTTAATTCTATTAGAATGAGTTGTGTAGAAAGATAAAATGCTTTATAGTATGGTGCTTTGACGTATGGCGGCTGTAGCACATTCAATTGTTATAATCTTGCACTAAAACACTTGTAACATAATCAATTAACTAATACCCCTATTCATGCACAAGTTCATATCAGTTTCTCTGGGCAGAGTATGTAGAGAAATTAAGTAGTGGGATCATACTCATCGCATTTTACTAGTAGTGTACTAATTTCATTTAAATGCATCTTGTATATTTATTAATTAACTTGTATTGAAAATGAGTTTAAAATGATTTTAAGGTCACCATGTCATCATTTTATAGGTTGATCTACCACATTTGCCTTAAGCAACCACATTTTGCCTTGTGGATGAGAACAATAGGGCACCATATTTGAACTTCGATTGTATAATAAATTCAAAAATATATATTAAGCAAAAAAAACCTTTTAGATAGTTAGTTCAAAATCATTTATGGGCGGAGATATTTCTTGTGGTGTATAATTGTTTTATCTTTCATCAGTTTAATCGACAATTTCAATAAGCATAGATATGTCACAAGCTTAATTAACAAATTAAAGATAGAATAACTGTAACATTTTGAGGAGCTAGATTATCATACTTCACAAACATACAAGATGAGGATATCCAAAACTAGGATTTAACAAAAGAAATGTCTATTCCCACTCTATAATTATTAAGCTAAGTGAATTGTTAAACACCGCAATAAATTTTGACACCTTCAATCCTTCTAAAACCTTTCATACTCTGTACAATTAACCCTTCTTTCGTTAGGTTTTAAGAGGATAAAGGGTAAAAAATTATTAGAATCTAATTGATTTTGAACCTCGGTTTTGCTACATTACTCCCTACATGTATGATTGAAGTGATACACGTACCATTTCTTTGTCCAATGTCAATGTCATTCAATTCAAAGTTGATACACAATCACAGAGAACAAACCCTAAGTTGCTAATTAAGATTATATTAGTTTCGCAAAAAGCTAAAATACTTTTAAGTTGTAAGCAAGCATTACAATTCAGGATTAAGGTCAACTTGTGCATATATACTCTAAATTAGGGGTGAAAGTTCGGTATTCGGTTTGGATTATACCCCAAACCGAATCCAAACCGAATTATTTCGGTTTCTGATTCTTGGAACCGAATCCAAACCGAATTTGGATTCAATCCAATCCAATCCAAACCGAAATAATCCGGTTTTGAAAAATGGATCCAATCCAAACCGAATTTTTTTGGGCTGTTGATTTGGGCCTTAAAATTGGGCTTTTAATCGGAAGTTTGTTTTGGCCCTTTTGTAGGCCTAAATTGGTGAATTACAATAGTTGGTCTTAAGCCAAAAATTTGCCAAATTAAGGGAAAATCATAATAAAAAAATTTGTCCAGCCACTAGAATAAAATTACAAACACGATAAAAGTCTTAAAATGGAATAACAGTCTACAATGAGTCTACATGCAGCTAAAACCATAATAACATCAACTAAAATCAATATGGTAGATTGACAGCAGCTAGAATCAACATGGCAGGCAGCAGCTTCTTCATTTCTTCAACATGGCAGCTTCAAACAATCAAGCTCAACGATATCTAACAATAAAAAAAATAAACATGTTACATAATATATATAAATAAATCAAAGGAAATCAATATAATCAAACAAACAAAACATCAATGTCGCCAATTTAAACATTATAGCATATCAATGTCATCATATTAGCCAATTTCGAACAGATCGAACAACAAATTAACGAATTCAAACAGAACAGAACTATTGAATGAAAACTTGAAAAGAGAAGTGGGAAATGAGTACACATCTAAGAAGAAGAAAAGCAGGAAAAGATAAGTGAAATTAACATAACGAAAGTGAAATTAATAAGAAGAAGAGAAGCAAAAAAGGAGAATTCTTACCCTTGAGTGACTGAGTGAGAGGAGATAGTGAGGGAACACGAACACGAGCGGCGCCGCGGCGGTGAACTGGTGGTAATTTTAGGGAGCACAAAACCACGAACACAAGCGGCGGTGAGAAACGAGATCTGCGGGAGCACGAAGCCACGAACACAAGCGAGCTGATGGTGATAGACGTTGACCGGATATGTGGTGAGCGGACTGAGGAAGGTGGTGGTCGGAGCTACTGAGGTGGTGAGGGAGAAAATGGGGAAATTTTGGAGGATTAGGGTTTGGTGAGGAATGTGCCGCAGAAGAGGGGAAAAAAAGACTGGGATAAGAGAAGAGTATTTTAGGGCTTTAGTATATATATGTAGGGTAGGAGAAATGGGCTGGGATATTTGGGCTTCATAAATTTCGGTTTGGATTTTCGGTTTTCGGTTTTTGGAAGCCCAAAACCGAATCCAAACCGAAATATTTCGGTTTTGATTTTTTTGAAACCGATCCAAACCGAAAACCGAAAAAACCGATCCGAATTGCTATTTCGGTTCGGTTTGGATCGGTTTTCGGTTTTTATCCAAATTACTTTCACCCCTACTCTAAATTATTCGATTCGAATTTGTCCTATTTTTAGATTGAATCTTGGATAAGTGCTTTCTTGCCTACAAATTTTTTGTTTGTTCTGTCATATTGCATGTTCTATCTTTTCTCATGAATTATATATTTCAGTGGCATTCAAAGAGATAAGCACTGTTAAGACCCTCAAAGAAGCAGTTTTGGTTTTTGAAAAAGTCTAATTAGGCAAGCTAATTAAAGGGTTCAAGTTGTTACGGACAAATGTTCACGTAACATTGCGCGATCAACAAGAAGATTGTAATGCATGCATCAGACGACTGTTATAGATTGTCTTTTAATTAAATTATACGGAGTTGACAATTATAGATTGTCCATATATAAAATTATGTCATATCTTTAATTATACAGAGAACAGTTTCCAAATAGAACGAGTTGTATAGTCATATTGTCAAAACAGCTACTTATGGCTACATAGCAAATCAAATTAACATAAATTTTATCTACTGTTCTTAGGGATTATAGACAAGAAGGAAGTCTAGTGAATTTACAATTAGAGCATATCTGAAAATTGTGGCTTATTAGAACCTGTGACACGTCTACACACGAACGTGAACAAACATAATCTTATTGTATCCTCGTGTGATTCTGATCCTGTCATCTGCATACCTGTTACATTTTATTAGGAGGAAAAATCTGTTACAAAAATGTGTTTGTAAATCATCAGCAAATTGAAAAAACAGGTGATAGATATCTCACAGAAGCTCCAGGTTGAATCTGGTTTCCATATTAACCGGAAGTCCAAATGAACCAAATATGATTGCTGGGTCATCCATTTTGACATCATATATCTTACTCTCGGTTTTCCTGTAATACCAAAAAAGTGTTAGAATCACAGGTCTGGAGAAATGTACACAAGATTACAATAGCATGAAAGGATTATGTTGTGTGGAGATTTATGTTATAAGTCCATAAAAACGTTTGTATCTTTTATTTGCTTAAACTTAATTGCAAATTAGTCTACACAGATAACATGACATACTGAAATGTGCCAGTCATGGAGAATCTGAAGCCAAGTACTATGTCAACCAAAAACTTCATTTGTCCATCTTTCTTGATTATCTGAAAAAAGGAAAAAATGAATGTCAGAATGATTCTACATCAAAGTATAGATATACCAGTACTTGCTGCAAATTCACCTGTGAACCCATGAGACCGTTAGCTGCATTCTCCAACCAGCTGTCTGTCTCCACCTGTCTCAGAAAATAAAAGTTTAACTTCAATATCAATCAATTAATCAATCAAAGTCTTAATCCCATAAGTTTTAACTTCAATAGAAGGATATAAATGTAAATTCAGATTTCTCATGTGGAGTATTATGATTAGAGAAGAGAAAATTATTAGTCTTTCCAATAATAGAATAATTATCATTCACAAATGAACCACATAACTTCATCACACTAAACTAAGTTAATTCTTCTCCATCATTTCAAGGTTGAATTCTTCTGGCCTTCATGAATGATGACCACTGACCAGTATGCGAAAATATGCGATATTCTATGCATATCAATGACATAAGAGTGATAAAACACAGGAGATTAAGACATGTATCATACCTGAGAGCTCCAGATCATCTTCCATTCCCCTTCAAGAAGCTGAGGTTCACCATCCTTATCTTGAGCTGTGGAAATTAGTTTATCAATTGCCTGCAACATTTGCAAGCAAATGTAATGGATACAAACATGAAAAAAAAAAAAAACAAAAAAAAAAAAATATTATTTACACATGCTCTCTTAAAAACTTCACAGAAAACTCACCTCTGTCACTCCAATTCCAGTAGAAATCGCGGAAAGCAACTCTTGCCTAGGTTCAGTTTCCTTCTGGAGCACAAAAGTGGTGCCCTGCACTACAGAACAGTGATAGAGGTCCTTAGTTCATCTTTCGATCTAAGCATACAATAACTATAAGTGTCACTACTATGATATTAGATAGCAACATACATGTATATGCTTTACAACCATATAATTTTTTTTGTGCAGACTATTTATGCTAAAGCTATATACCTTATTCCCCCTTGAAATACGTATATTTCCAGAATCTGACAAATATGTCGTGTCCAGCCAACCCTTTGCTTCATCTCCCAGAAGTCTGAATGGCACTGGATAAGGTACCTTAAATGGTAGGAATTTCAAGGAAAAGGCTGCCCTGTCAAACTGGAAAAGAATTCGTTTTCCATCCCTAACAGATGCCACAGCCTGTAGATCGAGGAAATAATGATGTATTGATTCATTAATTAATGGAAATAGGGAGAGGGATTGTGATTGAACTGATGAATCTGGAAAAGAAGTCATACACCAATTTGAGCGCTAGTTTTTCTGAGTGCATCATTATAGGAAATACAAAACTACCTAAGCAGTTAGTGCTGGAAATGGGCATAACTTACCTCTACTTTTAGCTCGCCAACAGCATCCGAGAATTTCACAATATTTGACACTCGTGGATCATTTGTTTGTAGATATACCTCTTGGAATACACTGAAGAAATCAACTCCTACAAATGTTCTCTGTCATGGAAATACACAATCAAATTTGGATGAGTAAAAAAAATTTTAGGAGGAAAATTAGCTAATGGCACCAGTAGCGATCTTGGTGAAATTGAGGATCGGTAATCACTGGCCAACAAGAAAAGATAGACTGAACAAAAGATAAAATATTTATATATATGCCAAGGAAGAAACTTTGCACCATTTACTTAACTATCCATCTCTCTCAAAGGAAACATCACCTTCTACCTTTAACATGTCAAGAAAAACTGTGGATACAAAGTTACTCCATACTACTTAGGAATGAACTTAGGAAAGAGTGGGGTTCATGTTCTGACTCAATATAATGGAATGCACAAATCTCAGGTACAATAGCAATATTCGACATCAGTCATCACCCAAAAACTTTTGGATGAAAGTTACAGGATTCCAATCAAAGCATAAATAGATGTAAAGGGGCACAAAATGGAAATAAACCTGAATTGGAGAGGCAGTTCCTGGCCTTGTAGTGAACATCAATCGCCACTTACCTTCTATCAAACTAGAGCTTGTCTGAAAAATCAAAAGTATAAATCGAGCCAGAAGCATTGGAGCCATGACACGAGTTAAAAAGGACACGATCAAACTCCAATTCTTGTAAGGGAAATGATCTAAGAACAGCGAGCAAACAACAACTTCTAGTCCTTTTCAAGTAAGACGAGATATGATGAATACATTCACTTATTTTGCAAACTAAACTACAATCCTACCAATTTTCTTCAACAAATATCTTGAATCAACCATCAATCTCACCAAACCTACCACAAGAAGAAAAATCACATAATCTTTCGATAGGCACGGCCAAACTCCATTCCAACTCAAAGTAGTATCAGCTCAACCCAAAGCTCAAATACCAAGATTCACATATGTTACTAGGCTTGATTTTATCTACCTTAATTCCACTTATTTTGAGACTAATAAGTTCAAATAAGTTGATTTCAAGAAAAATAAGGGTTAATCTAGTTCAATTTGCATCTAAAACAGTTCTTATACATCTGATAAGTTGAATTAAGTTCAAATTATAAGACAAAATACATAAGTTCACTAAAATTAATCAAATAAGTGAAAATCAAGTGAATAAAGCCACATCCTAAAACTAAGGTCACACAAAACTTCTAAAGTTACCTAATTCTTAATACGATAAGGGTTCACAAAACGGGTTCGGGAACGCAATTCGCTACCTAATAAATTAGTTAAATTAGTCCAAACATGTTAATTATGATATACACAAATAACTAACCGGATCAGGAACACCTTTAATATCTTCCAGAATTTGAACCGCTCGTTCCACTTCCTGTAATAATCACAATAATTAGAGATTAAACATAATTAATTAAAAGTAATCAAAATCATTACAAATAATTAATTTTATTAAAAAAAGAGAGAGATGAATACTTTGAGCTGCTGAGGAGAAGCAGCGCGACCTCGTCCTTGGATACCAATAAGAGCATCAACAAGCCGAATCTCATCCTGAGTAAAATTACTAAAAAGCCCTTGTTCTTCAGTTTCATTTGTCAGAGATGATGAACAAATGCGAAAATTGGGGATTTTACGAATGGAATTGAAAGCGATTGCATTGTTAGGGTTTCGATTTGATAAGGAAGAAGAAAATGGTGGAAATTGGGTTAATCGAAACCCAAACCCTAGAGCTGCGATTTCTGTAGTCGCCATTGTTGTAACAGAGGAGAGAGAATCTTCAAACTAACTCACTGAGTGAGGTTGGTTGGTTGTTTTTTCCGTTGTTTTGTGGAGGGAAATGAAGATGGTGGAAGATTGTTTTATTATTGACAGGTGGCTTGTCGTGAGTCAGACAAGTCAGCACACACTTATCCTAGTCGTATTTTGGAATACTTAATTACTTATTGTTCTAATGGTAATCACGAAATTTACGTGCATAAAATTGGAGATATTAGTGGTTTATACATAATTGGAGACTATAAAAAGTTGAATGGACTATCCATAAGAGATGAAGAGCCAAAATCATAAATTATCATACTCCGTATTTGAAGTACTCGGTATAAATTGGTTGGCATTACCAAAAAAAAAAATGAACATAAAATGGTAAAGTCGAGCAAAACTATGTAAATGACACAAGATTTGGCCCAATGTGTTGAATGGGCACAATGGGCTAGTATGATCTATTCAGATTATGTAGAAATTAATCATGTACTCCTAAATTAACAGATTTAATACTTAGATAAGCTCGTATACAAAAATGGTACTATGATATTGTTTATTACAGATGAATAAGAATCACAAATATACAATGACCTGATCAACTCATTACACGTTAGTTGGGTGACTACTAATCGACTATTCTTGCAAAAGTACTCATCCCACAATGTAGCCGAGGACAAACTGCTTTGCGATAGAGCCCATTGCTCCCTTAACATTAAGCATCCATGATGTAAGTCCACAATAACTGAACAAGAAAATCTTCGCGTTACCCACTTATCTGAGCAATTGCAAACTTAATATCAATAACCATAACCTGATTTCTGGAGCTGAGCTCATTTGAAAGAGTAACCATCTCAAGATTGCATCTATTAAACCACTCGTCTGCAACATCTATTTACATATTAGTAATCTGCTTCTGTAGTAACTAGTAAGTAGTAACAATGCATAGAAAGACATGACACAAATACTTGTACAACATTTAGATAGCAAGAGCAACAATTGTTGAACTGTATTCTATCAACCTTACACCACACTATCAGCACCACTGACCCTAAAGTATTGCTCAAAAAGAATGAATGAGCATGGTACACAATGTTTGGTCTGAGATTCTAGGTACCAAATACATAAATTTACGGGAATAACTCAAGTTGTCAAAAAGTAGATATATAATAAAATGAAATAAAAATGAAAAGAAGCCAAATAAGAAGTCATCTACCAGGGTTCAAGGGCCAAGATAAGATAGGTAGCCAAATGACTCGAGCTAATCTGGGGAGATATACTTAATATAGGAAACAACCTTAACTCAGAATGTATTGGATTTCATGCTATAATCAACCCAATTACAGAAAAACAAACACAAGGCAAGTCAATGTAAAACAAAGAGCTAGTATAAACAACACATCACAACCTTAATCCAGAATGTGTAAGATTTCATGCTACAATCAACCCAATCACACAAAAACAAACAAGTTAATGTAAAACAACTCATATAAAACATCCTATTCTTAAAAGGGTAACAATTAAATCTCAAAACAGAGCCTTTGCCACGAAGATGATGGGACAACAAGATTTCACAGAGGTAAAACAGAGGAAAACAATTATCGAGATCCAAGAATTATAAAGCTAGACCATACAAACCTATGATCAAGTCCCATATGATGTTCCTCTCTTAAACAGCTTTACAGATCTTGCCTGTAAAACCTGCGGAGAGCCACTTAATATTAATGTATTAATAAATCAAAGGGCTGAACCTTACTAGATGATCTTCATCTTCATCTTCGTCAGCAATCTGCCATATACCACTAGTGGCCAATGTTCAGCTAGCCATGGAACAAGATTAATATATAATTGGCTATTCAGTAGAATTAAAACATAGACCATCTTGAGAATTATTAAACTTACAGAATGAGTTTGCTCTCCAATGGTAAGTTGAAGAGTATCTTAAAAACATACATGATTCAATAAAAAGACTATATCAGACACCAAGGTTTTAATTGCATTAAGCCAGAAAAGGCTGGTACATGACTTACATCCATTTTTAAATGGAAGGTTACAACTTCCCCTCCTTCCGACCTAACTATTTACCCACTGACACTACGTCAACCGAAATTAATATTAATCTAGTCATATGCATTTTAAACTAGACTCCTAGAACATCCCTACAAAGGCAAAAAACAAGAAGAAACGCAGAATATCCAGAGATCAAAGTACTATGTACAGGAGTTAAAAACTTTTTCTTCTTCCTGCAATTGGTAGTTCTAATCAGAGAACTTACATTAACGCGGGACAACTTGAATAGTCACCGTCGCCAATGCTCTTCTCTAAGCTTTCAACTCCACAACCTTCAATCAGTAGATTCAACATTCTTGACTTCCCTGTCTATCACTAAAGCATCACCCATGCAGACATCTCCAGCAGATTCATTAACCATCACAAAATCGCTCTCGACTGCCTCCGTTCCACCTACCACGGCCTCATCTTGCTTCAAGTTGACCTCAGTTCTGTCCTTCACATCTCTCTCTGCCAAAGTTTCTCCCATGTAGGCATCTCCAATAGGTTTTTTCACAGCAACATTAATGTTGTCCTCTTCATTTCCAACAGATGAGCTAATATCCTTATTATTCTCAGGCTCTAGGTGTTCAATTGGTCCTTTTCCGAAATCTTTAGGCAGCTCTTCACTATGCTCTTTATCCCGATTGTCTACCATCAATCTATACCCGAGCCCATCATTAGTCAATCCATTATCCTGCATATACTCCTCCAATCCAACACTGGTTCCATGACTTCTCATGACTTCATCATCATAGACCTCTTTCACAGCAAGCTCCTTGAGTTCTTTGTGCAGCGTTTCACCACTGTCTTCCCTCCTTGCCTCACTATCTATAACCCTATTTCCAGGCAAAGAATCAACCTCCTCATTGTGCTTATTAACAACAAAGGGAAGATTCCTCAGTCCTTCACTATCGTTTTCAGACACATTTTCCACAACTTCTTCATTTATATCTTCCACAACTTGATTCTGCCTCTCAAGACACAACAACCTCCTCCTCAGCTCTCCAAGCTCCCTCTCCATCAAGTACAGCCTCTCCTTAAGAATCAAATTCTCTTCCTCCAGTTGCGCGATATGGGTATCCTGATCATCAACTCTATTCTCCAGCACGTTATGGTAATCAGCACCGCTGTTAGGGTATATCATCTCAAACCGACTTAAATCATGGTCTAACCTTCTCTCAACCTCCACATGCTCCTCAACATCACTCTCACTCGACCCCCCATCATCCTCTTCATCATAATCATCAACTGCCTCATCATGTCCCGGAGATCTAAGCCTAATCAAACCCTTCATCGACCCATAGCCATCAACACCCCACTCCTCCTTAGCCATATCAACCAAAGCCTCCCTCGAGGGCGAGAAAACAGGTGTAGGCAACACCGCAGGTGTCACAGGGCAAGGAGAAACCAACGAAGCAATCCCACCGGACTTCTTAGCTCGAATTATATACGAAGTAGTATTCCTCGGAGCATGAGCATAAGGTCCCATCCTATTAAACTTCTTCTTAGGGTGGTAAAACCTCCTAGCCTTAAGTCTATTCTGCTGTTCAAGTTCATAAAGAGTAGGCGGCTGATAGCTCAGACCGCCACCGGGCCCTATCGAAGGCAAACCACCAACACCGCCAATACCGCCACCAGGCAATGCCTTGTTATTATCCTTCCTCCTACCATCTTTCCTCTTATCCATAGGTTTCTTTCCTTTCCAATTATTATTGTTGTTGTTATTGTTATTACTACGTCCAGGTTTCGCAATTCCAGCATACATTTGATTCATAGGATTGGCAAATTTCATAGCATTCATTTGAGGCGGAGGCATTGACCACTGACCGTAGTTCTGACCAACCATCATACTCGGCTGATTCGCCGCCATTTGAGCTTGACTCGCCATCATACTCGGCTGATTCGCCGCCATTTGAGCTTGACTAACCATCATCTTCGGCTGATTCGCCGCCATTTGAGCTTGGCTAACCATCTGAGCTTGATTCTGCGGCGGCGCCGGCATCTGCTGATTCACCATTTGCGATTGATTCATCATCTGTGAGTGACTCACCATCAACATTTCAGACTGATTATTCTTCATTTTTTTGAATTGATTTTTCTTAAAATTATAATTATAATTATTCGCCGATGAACAAAACGGAAAATTCGAGTTGTAATAATTCATTACCTGATGCTGATTCATCATTTGAGACTGATCGTTCATTGTTTAATTAATGATTTAACCACTCACAAACTGCTTCGTCGAAAAACCCTAATTCAAAACCTAATTAAAAACAAACAAAAATTGCCGAACTTAATCAAACTCGAGCTCCACAGTATTAAAATCAAACAAATAAATTATAGAAAAAAAATTATAAGAATCAATCAAAAAAATCCGATTAAATTAGATTTAAAATGCGAAAAAATTAAAATCAAATTGTGATTGAAACAAACCCTAGCAAATCAATCAGATTATGTGCAAAAAAGATGAAACTTCTGAGCAAAGAGCACGAGATTCTTCTTCCTTTTATACTTTCTCTCTCTTGATTTTCTCTCTCTAAAATTAATTTTATTTTGGTGGAAATTTTTTAGATCTCTTAAATTTTGGTTTAGCTGAGAATCGAAAATTAGATGACCTATTTATAGGCGGAAAAGGAAGGTAGCAACGGTTAGATTTTAAGATGAGGAATCAACGGATGAGATCTAATCCCACGTGGCGTGTAAGCATTTTGTAGCGACATGTTCGGTTTAGGACGCCTCCTCAACACTTAACCGAAATTTTACCCCGCTCTGTTGTCTTTTTTTTTTTTTTCTTTTTTTTTTAAAAAAAAAATTAATAAAAAAAATAGTATGATAATCTCATAAACAATGAAACAACTTTAAAGATAAAATTTGAGATTTTTTTTTTAATTCAAGTTGTGTTTGTAAAATATGATTTCGATGCGAGTAGAGTAATGTAACATTTGAGATTTTTTTTTAATTCAAGTTGTGTTTGAAACAACCTGGGCACGGGCCGGGTTGGCCCGCGTGCCGCCCGGCACGGCCCGCCGTTCGGCGCAGCCCGGCACGGCCCGAAGTCAAGCACGGCACGGCACGAAGTTCAACTTCCGTGCCACGGGCCGTGCCACGGACACGGTTGAGAATTCCCAGGCACGGCCCGGCACGAGCACGGGCATGGCCCGCCGTGCTGGCCCGCAGGCACGGCCCGTAGGCACGGCCCGCGGGCCAACGGCTATAAAACGGCTAGTTTTTTGCCAAAAATTCTATAAATACTCATCTCCATTTCATTCCCAAATCACAAAATCACAATCTCTTCTTCTTATCTCTTATATTCTCTAAATCTCTAATAATCCTTATTTTCTTAAATTCTCTAATTATTCTCTTAAATTCTCTAATTATTTTCCTAATATCGGAAAAAATTAAAAAGTTCGTAATCGTAATTAGTGGAGCGTTGAAGCACGGTTGTAAGATCTAAACTAATCTTAAATTTATTATTGTTTTATTGTTATTATTAGAATAATCTTGTTTAATTATTATTGTTGTTAATTGTTATTGTTGTTGTTATAATTGTTGTTATTAATTATTATTATTGTTACAATTCTTGTTATTATTTATTTTTGTTGTTATTGTTATTGTTATAGTTGTTGTTATTAATTAATATTATTGATATTTTTATTGTTAAAATTGTTGTTATTAATTATTATTATTATAGTTAACCACTTTTTATTAAAAAATTAATTGTTAATTATGGCATCGAACAACCCATCATCTAGGTCTAGGGGGAAAGGCCGACTTATCCGTAGTAGTAGTTCTAGGGAACCACCAAATACAACGAGCCCCCAAATTACGAGTCAAACCAATGACCCCATTTACTTCCCCCCGGGCTATGAGCCATATAATACGTCGGGATTTCCAGCACCACCACTAAACCAATTTCCACTACCACCATACCAATTTCCACCTAATTATATCGGTAATCAACAAAACTATTGTTCTAGCCAAGGTAGCCAAGAAAGTACCCGAATTCCCTCCGGTTCTACCCCTTCTACTGCCACTCCCACTAGTCCCACTACTAACCATCACACACATCATGAATGGTTAACCGAAACTGAGATGTTACTTTTGAAAAACCGAAGGAGTGAGGTATGGCGTTATTTTGTCCTAAGTAAAGATGGTGAACAATGGGCAAAATGTAAAACATGTAATAGTGTATTCGCGGCAGTTACCAAAAACGGGACGGGACACTTATCTAGACACATGAAAGCTTGTGCAAAACCAGCTAGTGATCCAACCCAGCCCAAAATTTCCCAATTCCATCCATACGGCTTTACATACAACTATGAGAGGGATAGGGATGAACTAGGAAAAATGATAGTACACGCCGAACAACCTTTTCTTTTCTCGGAAAGTGACGCATTCAACACCTACATTAACAAAGCACTACAACCCCAACATAAAAGAATCTCTAGGAAAACCGTTCGTTCCGCCGCAATGAAAAATTTCCTAGAGTACAAAGTCCGGTTACAAGCCGAATTGAGTAATCTTAACTGTAGAGTATCTTTAACAGCCGATTCTTGGGATAGTGGTTATAAATATCACTATTTATGTGTGACTTGCCATTGGGTAGATGATCAATGGATGTTACAAAAAAGAATAATACATTTCAAAATGCTGGAATACCCACACACCGGCATTAACATTGCTCACCATTTAATGCAAGCAATAGACGAATACAACCTTCGAGATAAAATGATGTCTATGACTTTTGATAATGCAACCTCTATGACATACACATCTAATCTTATCAAATAAAACTTAACCGATGTACTATTAGACGGTGAAGCTCTTCATACTAGATGTGTTTGCCATGTACTTAACTTATGTGTACAGGATGGAGTTCGGGCAATTGGCCCATACTACAGCAAAATCAGAGATGCTATTATGTCTATTAATAGCTCTAACATGAGATACCAAGAATGGAAGAGTTTTCTAAAACAACAAAAGATAAGGGTAATAAAAATTAGAACCGATTGCCCAACTAGGTGGAATTCCACCTATGACATGTTAACAAAGGCAATTGAGTACAAGGGCCCGTTAACATTATTTTACAACCAAAAATTTCCACAAAATGCTTTGTATGATGATGATTGGAAAAACTGTGAAAGATATATGCAATTTTTACAGTTATTATATAACATGACGTATTGTTTTTCTACTGTTTACAATCCTTGTGCTCAAAACTTTCTTTCTAATGCATGCTTACTCGCCCAACTTTTCGCTGATCATCGCGATCAAAGTGATTATGATCAGTATCTTCCAGCAATGGAAAAAAAGTGGCGTAAATATTATAGTGAGATTCCTTTGATTTATATTTTTGCTTCCATATTAGATCCTAGGCAAAAGTATGAAAACACATTTATGTTAGTTGACATTTACTTTCAATGCATGTTTCTTGACGATGATGTAGAAAACTATAAGACTAATGTGAAGGATCAGTTTTTTGCTTTATATAGAGTCTATGAAGCCAAATATGGCACCGTTCCTCGCTCAGGGCCTTCCCAACCATCCAAAAACGTAAGTAAGAAGGCCAAACATTTATTTTCACAAGCTACTAACTTGATTTCAAGGTTTTCAGGTGATTCATCAATCAGGAGAACGCAAAGCGACGTCTCGGAGTTGCAGATGTACCTGAGTTACGACTTCACCAAAGGCATGGACGACGATGAGATAAACAGCCTCGACCTCCTTGCATGGTGGAAACAACAAAGCTCGAAGCATCCAACTTTGGCGGCAATGGCACGAGACATTCTTGCTATCCAAGTTTCCTCCGTCGCCTCCGAACGAGCTTTCAGCGCATCCGGAAGGGTTTTAGACGATAGAAGAACAAGTCTAAAACCCGAAACACTAGAAATGTGCGTGTGTTTCAAAGATTGGTTGGATGCGGAAAATCGCTCACAAGACCGTTCTTACGACCACAACGACAACGAAGAAGGAACCTCCGCTTCCGGTTCGGGTTCCGCTAGTTCCCAATCTATGCAACTAGCCGATGACCTTGAAGGCGAAGGCGAAGACGAAGACGAAGACGAGCAAGAAGAAGGAGAAGAAGAATAGACAATTATTGTATATTGTACGATTTTAAAAATATCAATTTTATCATTTTCCAATTTTTGTTTAATACCATCATTGTATGATTTTTATCATTGTACAATTTTCTCAACTCAAGTAATAATAATATAAAGTACGCATTATTCACATCCAAAGTCCAATTTGCCTTTTTTCCCCGTTTTGTTACAATTTGTAAATTCATATTAAAAAAAAATAAAATTATACCAATTACTAATAAATCATAAACATTAAATTTTAAAGTAATAGTATAAAGTAAATATATAAATATAAATATTGAATATACAAATTATAAAACATAAATATTCAACTTATAATTATAAAATTCATAACTTAATAACTTATAACTTATAAGTTATAAACTTATAAGTTACCTTATAAAACTTATAATTATAATTTATAACTTATATACATTATAAACTTATTAATTTATAATGTTGTCATTAAAAAAAAAAAAAAAAAAAAAAAAAATGAAAACTGCACCAGCCCGCGCAGGCCAGCACGTGGCCGGCACGGCACGAGCCCGCCAGGCACGAGGGCCGTGCCGTGCCGTGGGCTGGCCTGTGAAAATGGCCGGCACGGCACGGCACGAAATCCTGGGCCCGCCGGCACGACCGGCACGGCACGAACCAGCCCGTGGCCCGCCAGGCACGGCCCGCGGCGGCCCGGCACGGCACGGTGCCCAGGATTTTTTTGAAGTGTAATAGAAAGATCATATGATTATCTTTATAGGTTTGAGTGTTTGACCATGAAAATTGCTAACACTTTTTATATACATCGACATCTGGTGCACACAGAGTTAGGTGCATTCAAGGTAGTTTTTAAGATTTCAAAATGAGAAAAAAAAATCAAATGGGCAGAAATATCGTTGGATACACATTGCACTCGTGTGTATATAATTTTATTTTTAAAAAAGTCACGAACAGTTCATATTTAAAATTGTGGATAATCATTATTAAATCTTATTTGTATTTATATGAACTAATTTTTCTTGAATCCATCTTATTTGAAATACTACAATTATTATTTGAGAAAATAAGTGAAAATAAGGTTAAATAGAAATATAATCTTAAACCTTTCTCTTCAACTTATTTTTGCTAAATTATAATCATTTTTACATAGCTAAAGTCATTTAAAATGAATATTATTATATAAATATGGTGGAGATACCATAGTTTTTTGAGTCAATAAGTACAAACATTATAGCATGTTGATTAATGACATATATTTTATTATATGCTAACTGACGTGAAGTTGAAAATATAGTAACCCTAATTTTAATATAGCTACCCTAATTTTAACATTGACCTTTGTTAAAATTTATGTCAACCTAGTTGACAATAATATTATTGTAGATCTTGAAATCGACATGTGCCAAATGATGTTATGTTGAATATAGTGACCCTAATATTAACATGATGACCTTTATATTCAAATTGACCGGTGCGTGAAAACTCTCATTATAAAACATATTTATCACTTATATATG